TGAGCACACAAACAACTCAAAAAAAACTCGAGTTCGAGTTTTTTTGAACCGACTCATCGATCTCATTCTCACCAGTTGGCTCAGCTCGTTTATCATCCACACCTACTAATATATATATAGTTAAAAAGAAAACAAAAAAATAGATAAATAAATAAAACGCGCACACACACATAAGACCATACAAAAAAAACACTAATTGAAAAACACGATAGATCGATCATTGGTAGAGCAAAACCATTACAAAAATGTCACTATTGAAAGAAGAGATCATTGACTTGATTCTTGTCAAAATTAAATAAATATTACTCCACCTCTCTATTTTGGTAAATTTAGTTACAAAATAAATAAAATTAACTATTGTAATGTGTAGTCCCGCCCAATTAGTTTACCAAAGAATTCGAATAATTAAACCCACCCTCCATTTTCCGAGTTTGGTCAATGCCGTAAGGATTCAGCAGTTACACACTTCATACTTATTAATATAATAAATTAGTTATAAATAAAGAAATCCCATTATCCTAATTTTAATAAAAATAAAAAAATAAATTAAATAATAAAAATAATAATCCCCACACTGGAACAGAAAATGGGTAACGTATGTTCCACGCGGGGGATTTATGCTCTCGATTATAGCATAGCTTTTAAGGGTGACAACTCACAAGAAATAATTTTAATTATTTTTATTATTATTATTATTATTAATTATTTATTTTTAAGCTAAGGGGCACATGAAGATCACTACCACTATAGGGATTTAATTCTATTATATGAATACTATGTTCAATTATTTTTTTTTAGTTCATAATATATCAATTATTTTGAAGATAGGCCACTTATCATTAATTAAATTTAATTGTCCAGGAAAAATAATTAAGACATAATTAAAGAGAGAAATATCCTTTAAATAATGTTGGGATTTATTTTGTATAAATAGTAATGTTGAATTTTCATTACAAATTTAAAAAAACACACACAAAAAAAAAGGCTTATTAATTAATTAAAGATTAAAAGATCATGAAAATAATTCAAAAATAAGGTGGTAATTAGTATCTCTCTACAAATATAGGTTTTCTTTGGTTGCGCGAGATCGAGAAGGTGTGTGCCATTGGTGGGTTGTTCGTAAATGCGGCGCTTATGGCAATCTCAACAACCCGCTTAAAGGATTGGCGGTCGATTATTTTGGAGGGTGATTGTTTCCTAGTTATTGGTGATCTGCATGTTGGGATTCTCTCGTCATCCACTCACGAGGCTTATATTGAAGAAATTTTATCTATATCTTCTTTATTTGAATCTTGTATTTGTTTTCCGTTTGTTAAGCGCTCGAGTAATCAGTTAGCGCACAATTTAGCTTCAAAGTCTGAGAAGTTTTGTACTGAAGGTTCGACCCTTTCGGTTTATTTTCGTATTGATCGATATATGTGCAACAATCTAAAACGACAGATACTAAATGACAAACACGCACACAATTTTAATGCGCTCGACTAATGATTACCCAAAGCTATTTTAATTATTGTAGCTAGGCCCTCTTTAATCATACACAAATTGAGTATTTTCCGAGCACATATATATGCTTACACGGTTGTACCATTTATTATTGTCGTAATTAAGGTGGTGGTGTAGTAGTAGTAGTAGTACCATTTATTAATTATTGTCGTAATTAAGGATTAAGTGTGTAGGTGTATTAATATGCGAATAATAAGAAGAAAAAAAATAGCTGTAACAAGGCCAAAACTTTATGTTGGAACAAATAATTATAGTGTCACATAATTATGTGCAAACATACAATATAATACAATAATCACTTAATTTGTTTTCAAATATTATTTTATTTTTATTATTGATAAATAAATATTAATTTATTGGGAGAAATGTATTTAATTTTGAGTGATGGATCATTGTCTCCCTTTACATGGCTTTACTGGTGTGCATGTAGCTTAGCTGGCTGCCTTAAGATTTGCCCAATTACAAATAAATCAAACAATAAATCTGCTGACAATTTATATGAAAAAGTTTGCTAATGATCTATCCTTTTCACTGTGTATATATATATATATATATATATATATATATATATATATAGATATATATATATTTGTATATGTGAGTATTAGTAAGACAAGATTTGCAGTGGTTGTATAGGTCTTTATTGCTTTTGTGCACCACCAGAGAGAGAGAGAGAGAGAGAGAGAGAGAGAGAGAGAGAGAGAGAGAGAGAGAGAGAGAGAGTCTTAAATTAAAGACTGTTGAGAATTTTTTACTTATGCAGCCACCAAAAGAGAGAAAATTAAAAGAATTTATTTAATTTATATTTATTTTCTTGGTCAAATTCATTACATGCAGAAAATGTAGTGTGTACATTATTCATGTGAAAAAAAACAGAATTGAAGGGTCAAAAAGAATTGACTATTTACAGCAGCAAAAAATTAAAAAAAAAAATATATATTTATTTAAAATAAAGTTTAGGCAATAAAATGTCACTTTCACCACAGAGAAGGTGGGTGAATTTGAATCAATCAACCACTGCTGCGGCAACTATGTGTACAGCCAACTCCTTTAAATGCCTATCAACAAACAATAATAACAACAACATAAATAAATAAAATTATTAATTAATAAAATAAATAAATTAATATAACTTTTTTTCCTCAATGGAATAAAACTGGGAATCACTTGGCCAAATCCCTGTAATTTGATTTTGTTTTTACCTTTTTCATTATGATGAATTTGCTTTTAATACAAAAAAGTTTCACTCCACAAGTTGTATGTATATAATGGAAAGAATATTAATCGTCTTGAAATCGAGTTTCGCAGTCTTATCGACATGTATTTGTTTAAGTTCGATTCATTTCATTAGCGATTCGAGCTTAGTGTAACGATCGATTTTGAATCGAGAGTATCGAACAGTTTGGTTTGATTCATATGGAAAAAAATTGTAATTTTGTAAAGTATGTTATAGTAATGATTCAAGTTGAGTACATTTATCTATTTCTATAATCGTTTTGTTTATTTTTCTTATTATGACAATTAATTTCAAGACATCATAATTGATCGCTCATTAATTTTCTCAAAAAAAGAAAAAAGAAAAATAGAAATGAGGCTTTTAAATGATTATTAATAGACCAAACTTAAATTGGATCCAATTAAGCAAATTTGGGATATAGCCCAAATTCAATTAGAACCCACATTTATTTTACTACGAGTTTTCTGGGCCTGGCCCATAATAATCTTACCATGATAAATTGCATTCCTCCTTTGTACCCATTTTTTTTTCTTTTTCCCATTCAATAAAGATCTTACTATTGCCTCTTATTCAATTCTAATCCGTCGGATATTTATTCGAGTACATGAAACACGAACTATATAAACGATGTAGCCCAAAGGGCTCGATTCGATATAAATGAATAGAATGGGCCTGGATCAAAGAAAGCCCAAACAAGAAGCCCATGTGCTCGTAGGAAATTTGCTAAACAAAGAGTATCGGGAAGAGTTTTCTCGCATTAGCATTCTGTCGGTCAAGTAAGTCGGAATCGCGTACGAAAAATATATGCGTACAGTGAAAATGAGTAGTAGAATTCCAGAGAGAGTCTTCTCTTGTACCTGAAGACTATAGTTGTTCTTGTCTAATAAGGATAAACTGTCTCGTTAATTGCGATCCGATCCTATCATACATATGTGGCTCCCAATCAAGAGGATAGTGTTATCATCTTTATTATGATAATCATAGACTCAAGTGGTCATACTATATACATAATGCCATTAATTTATAATGCTATGGTCAAGCATAAGAAATGTCATCACCAACTCCACTAAAATTATTGTTGCCCAATTGAACATGTAAGAGTATTCAATTTACATTTTTAATATGATTTATGGACTTTTATTGTATAAGAGTGAAATTTAATATTACACAAATTTGGTCATGAATTTTATTTATTTGAAACCCACAAATAATAAAACTATACATGTTTATAATCTATATATAATTTTCCTTGTGACTTAATATGTTGGACAATAAAGAATCTTGATGACTTAGATCCACCAAACTTGGTGATTGATAAATCAATTTTAAACGAAGCATTAATCGAAGTGTACAGTCACGACGTCTAATCTTATATTAGTGGTGAAATTAATTCGATTTAAATGAATTATGGAGCAACAAACTAAAAATAAAAGTTTATAATAAGATGTCTAAATCAGTATTAGGTATAGCTTATCTTAAAATCAATATTTGATAACTATATAATTAATTACTTATCTCTTAAAGTTCACACCTTCTCTTCTAAATTAATTGTCGTTTTGGAGAATATTTCTTATTTTATTTCATCTGCCACTTTAAAATTTCAATAATTCGTTAATTATTATTTTCACAATTTAGTCGTCATTTTAGTTAGCCGAGAGGGGATTAGTGTAAATAAAATTAATAAGATTAATATTTTTTATGACACTATATATATTTTTTTCTAAACTCCATACTTATTTATTAGTGGGATTTGACACCATTTTCAACCACACAAATCAAAGTGCCTTATGAATTGATCATGACAAGGAAGCATTATATGATAAAAACAAATTGAACATAAATGTAATAAAAATTGGGAATACAGACACAGTTGAAGCAAATTAATATATTTTGGCTGGAAATATATATTTATTAATTATTTACCCGTGACCTGAAAAAGCGTTAATTGAATGAGTCGAACTTTAATGAATTAGAAGACTTTAGTTCACACGTTTCTTCTTTTTTATTTGGACCACATTCAACCGGTACCACCACGTATTTTACAGTTCGGTAATTAATAAACGGGCAATTTACGGCGACCCCTGATTTATGGTCAAATTACGAAAACTTCCCTCTTGTTTAAGTAATGTACAGTCACTAGTTGATCCTCTCATCAACTATGTATTATCTTACGAAAAAACCCCAGAGGTAAATTTAGGGACGTTAATTCGGTAAAATCGAACCGAAATTTCGGTACGCCAACATTCCATACCGTTTACCGAACTAAATATACGATTTTGTTCGATAAATACCCGAATTACATAAATATTATGTAAAAATACTTAAAAGGATGGGTGGTTGTAATTACCCAAACAAAACGGGTCTTTTTGTAATTTGACCATATCTCAAGGGATGGCCGTAATTACGGGGATCGTAAATTGGTAAAATGTCCTAGGATCGAGCACTGACAGTCACAATGTGAAAATTTCAACTTTACATTCTTCCATTAAAAACTTATCGACGAAGGAGATTCGGTAACTCTGATTAAAAGAAGATAAAATATTGAATTAATCATTTTAGCCATCTTAATGGATTTTTAAATTATTATATCAGTTAATAAGAAGTAATGATCAATAATCATCACAAATTTATTTTTGGCACAATTTGAACTAATAACGTTAGGATATTCGAATCTTGGACTTCATTATATGGAATATGGATTAACAATTAATTATAAATTAAGGAGATTAAATTTACAAATTACAATAGCAGATTTATGAAACGGTTTGAATGATTTCAAATTTCAAAATTTCAGATAATATTTGAACTAATTTAATGGTTTTAAATTCATCTTGTAAGAAATTATTTAAAATTGTTTTAAGAAAAGGTCCAGGTATATATAAATAAAATAAAATAAATAATAAATAAATATATAAAATAATAATAATTGACGGGGTCCAGACTGTAGTAGATCCTAATTAATAAGTCAGTCGAGCCGCAAATCACGAAACATTTGGACCCAATTCTCTTTCTTTTTTTTTCTTCACCATCTTATTTGAGTTTTCCTTTTTTTTTTTCTTTATATTTTTTATTAAGAAATAAAAAATAAAAAATAAAATACAATTTCAAAATCAATTTTGACAACACTCATGAATTTGCACTCCCATGAATGAGTCGTGGCGTTGACGCGCGCCACATTTAAACTAGCAAGCACAAAGCCCGGAGAAAACGCTTTTTGACGGGTCAAATAACTTTACTTTTTACCCGTATTATATCTACGGATCTACCCTACCCGTATTAAATGCTGCTACGCCTATTTCCCATTCCTCCCATATCTGGATTTCCATTCCCCCTTGTCTCTGAAAACCTATCCTGCATCCCACGCGACGGCGCGTGTTTCCCGCTCGCCTTCGTTCAATTAACCTGAAAATGGGTCAATCCGCCTCCACCCACGGCTATTCCCCCGGCGGTTCGAACCATTTTCGAAACCCCAAGCTTGACCTTCACCAGCTCCGCCCTACCTACCCCGATTCCCTCCATACCGACGCCGTTTGCGTGAATCACCAACAACAACTCGACTACTCATCGGAGATCCCCGACGAATGCCTCGCCCTGATCTTCCAATCCCTCAGCTCCGGCGACAGGAAGCGCTCCTCCCTCGTCTGCCGCCGATGGTTCTCCGTCGAGGGGCAGAGCCGCCACCGCCTCGCCCTCAACGCATCCGTGGACGTCGCCGGCCACCTCCCCTCCATCTTCACGCGCTTCGATTCCGTCACCAAACTCGCCCTCCGCTGCGACCGCAAGTCCGTCAGCATCAACGACGACGCCCTGAGCCTGATCTCCCTCCGCTGCCGCAACCTCACCCGCCTCAAGCTCCGCGGGTGCCGCGAGATCTCCGACCTCGGTATGCTCGCCCTGGCCTCAAATTGCAGATCCCTGCGCAAATTCTCCTGCGGATCGTGTATGTTCGGCGCCAAAGGTATGAACGCCCTCCTCGATAACTGCTCCTCCCTAGAGGAGCTCTCCGTCAAGCGCCTCCGCGGAATCAACGACGGATTCGCCGCCGAGCCGATCGGCCCCGGTGTCGCCGCCGCCTCGCTCAAATCAATCACGCTCAAGGAGCTCTACAACGGCCAGTGCTTCGGCCCCTTAATTATCGGATCTAAGAATCTAAAAACTCTGAAAGTCTTGAGGTGTTTGGGCGATTGGGACAGATTACTAGAAACAATCACAAAAAGAAAGAACTGTTTGACCGAGATTCATCTGGAGAGGCTGCAGGTCAGTGATTTAGGGCTAATGGCACTTTCAAAGTGCCCCGAGTTGGAGATCTTCCACTTGGTCAAAGCTCCCGATTGTTCGGATGACGGGATTTTAGCAATCGCAGAGAATTGCAAGCTTTTGAGAAAGCTCCATATCGATGGGTGGAGAACAAATAGAATAGGCGATGAGGGTTTGATTGCAGTTGCCAAGAACAGTGTGAATCTTGTGGAGTTGGTTCTTATCGGTGTAAACCCTAGCTCCATAAGCTTGATGGCTATGGCTTCCAATTGTCAGAAGCTGGAAAGGTTGGCTCTCTGTGGGAGCGAAACCATTGGAGATCCCGAGATTTCTTGCATAGCCTCTAAGTGTATGGCTTTGAAGAAGCTATGTATCAAAGGGTGTAGGGTTACAGATTCGGGAATCGAGGCTTTCGCTTTTGGCTGTCCGAATTTGGTTAAGATTAAGGTCAAGAAATGCAGAGGGGTAACTAGTGAAGTTGCTGATTGGCTGAGGGCAAGGAGAGTGACATTGTCGGTGAATTTAGATGCCGATGAAATAGAACCAGAAGCGTTGGATGCCAGCACGAGCGATGGTGGGGTGCAGGAATACGGTGTGGAATTCCCCGCCATAGCCGGTGGAGCAGCAGCGGGCGGACATGTGGCTGCAGATGGTGGTGATGCTCCGTCGACGAGTAGTGGGGGTCGATTGGGGAATAAGTCGAGGTTTAGCATATTTGCCGGGAGGAGTCTTGTGGCGTGTGCTTTTCGAAGGTTGTCTTCTTCGAATGGTAATGGTAGTACGAGTGATAGCTTATGAACTAAACTGAACCCGGACCCGGACCCGAACCCGAACCCGAACTCTGGTTCAGATTCTGGACTTCTTGTTGTTGTTTGTTTTTCGTTCTTTATTACTGAAGTTGTGTTTGTTGTATATTTTGCTTTAATGGTGATTGAATTTGTGAAACACTGAAGACCCCTTTTTTACTATGATTCTATGTTTGATGATTGTATATTTTTGTGTGCTGTGTTGTTCAATAGGTTGCTTCTTCTGCCGCACGTGCAATTTTGTTCGAATAGCGGTATTCGCCGTGTGTGTTCTTTTTCGTCTTTTGCATAAGCCCAAGAAATAGCAAAAATGTACCCTAATGGAAACTCATTTGTGAGATTCTTTGGTACTGAATTGTTTCTGCTAATTTTGCTTCTTTTTTGCCAAAAAAACTGATAAATTTTGTATTTTGTCTTTGTTACTGAATTGTTTCTGCTAATTTTGCTTCTTTTTTGCCAAAAAAACTGATAAATTTTGTATTTTGGACAAGTTTCCTGGGAATTTCATTGAAAGGGAAATTGACTATTACTCCAAAAGTCAATTGACTAGTCTAAAGAAGAAAAAATAGAGCATCTTAGATATAAATGAATTGTTCAAATTGATGATCACATCAATAGCAACTAACTAAGTAACAATTAGTAATTGACCATTGACAGCTTTCAATACTTTAATTAATAAGCAATTAACTAAAAATAAACCAGTTGTGCCTCCACGTCTTATATGTGGGGCTTGCACTCAATTTTTTTAGAATTATGAATGAATTGATTAAGAATTGGTCAAGAACTGTACTTACTTGGGAGTAGAATTTAATCGAAAATATAAAAAACGAATAAAACCAGGTTGTCTACGGTGCAACAGTCTCTCCCGTTCGAGATACAACAGCCAAAGAATCAAGCCCAAAAAGTAATGATTGTTAGGCTTGGATTTAGACTAATTAATAACCATTTGGACTTGGGCCGTTTAATCTTTTCTTAAAATATATAAAGTTAGAAAATTATAAATTGGGCCCAAAAATAATATTTTGTTACAAAATAAATCTATATTCTTTTGTCAGAAAACCCAAAGTCCAAATCTATTTGTCCTCAGGGCATGTTTCGAACCATAACACAAACAATTTTTATTCACTCTACTCATAGTTAAACTATAAAAACTCCAACAGTATAGTATAATTAGGGGTGCAAGTTGGAACGGATTTTCCAATTTCCGCCGGTTCTGATTCGAAAAGTTCTGATTTTGGAACAACTTTTTTCATTCCGACTTCAGAAATTCCGATTTTCGAAATTTTCCGATTTTTTTGGATTGGAATTGGAATTATATAAAATAAATTTGGAATTTCCGATTTCCGATCCGATTTAATTCCGAAATTAATTCCGAAAAATTCCGAATTTTTTCCCCAAAAATTCACCTATAAATAGTATATATTATATAATACTTATTTTCCGAAAAATACACTTATAAGTTTTGTTTTAGGATTTTGACATAATGAATTGTTGTTAGAAGTTTTATTGGATATTATGTTGTGTTTATTTTTATTTATTTTTTTGAACTGAATTTAGTAGTTATTGGTTTTACTTTTATCGACGTGGATGCTCTTATTTTCTAAAAATTATGAACATTTTAGAAAAAAATCGCTAAGTTTTGAAATTTTAAAGCTTCTGTGATTTTCGATTTTTTTCCGAAAATCCAAAAATTTTCGGGCCTTTTGGAATTGGAATGAATTTTTAGATTCCGTAAATTTTGGAATTGGAATTGTAATTGATTTTGTACTTCCGAATTTTTTTGGAAATTTTCCGAAAAGGCTAAAAGTGTAATTATCCCAAAAAAAGGTATACAATTTCGAAAATGGGTGGGGCAAAGGACTTCTTTTTATTATAGAAATTCAAATAGTACCAAAAGAAACAAAATGAAGAAGTCAAAGGACTACTTAACAATAAATGAGCAATAAGTCACAAGCTCGTAATAAACCCTAGCCCCTCTTTCATCTCTTATTGCATAAACCCTAATTTCAACGGGGACGACAACTCTCAGTCTCTCGTTCAATTTCCGGCGCAAATTATTCACTGATTTGTTTTTCAACCCAGAAAAATGGAAGATTTAATCGCCTCCGCGAAGAAAGAGGTATATTCTAGTTTGTTTCTTTTATGTTTTGTGCGTCTTAGGTTTTATAGCTTCTCTGTAGCTCGAAAATGTGTTTAAAGGTTCTTCTTTTTTTTTTTTGTTGATGTTGTTAGGTATTGATTGAAATGGTTAAATTGGCGCAAAAGAGAGGAATGTCTGGAAGCAAAGGTACCTGGAAAGATTTTTTGAAATCTTATGATAGTAAGTTCGGGTCTAGCTTGAGTGACCCGGCCCGGAGGTCTGTTGAGTCCTTGCATGAATTTTTGAAGTCTTTCACCAAAGATGATGATTTGAGGGTAAATTTAGATTTTAATAATAATTATTTGTATTTTTTTTTTCTCTCAACAAACGAATAAGCAGACCCACCGATTGAAACGGTTTCTTATGTTGTGTTTTGCAGTTCTTTGAGAAAGTATTGCAATGTTATTCCAACCGTGATGAGGTGGAGCAAATTAAGAAAAGCTCTCCTGATAATGAAACTGCCGAACAGGTCTGTATTCGATTTATTCGTAATCGAAAACCCTTCATGCACCATTGGTTCGTGTTATTAAAACTGAGTTATTTGAGTCATTGCAGAAATTAGTCCGCTTGACTTACGAGAATCCCATGTACCCTGTTGAGTATTCGTTCCCCTCGTACGAAGATGTAGGTTTTCTATAATTTCTTCTTCAGAAGTTTTGTTATTTGTTATTTGTTATTCCTCAAACTATTCATCGTTGTAATGTAATATATTTGCTTCTTCATGTTACAAAGTCTATGTTGTATTTTTCCCGTGCCCTGGTATATATTCATAGACATGTTTGCATATATTTAAGGAGTGATTGGTTATAAAATCCACTGTGCTGATTTGAACTGAGCTGGAGCAGGAATGGTTGACTATAAAACCCCGTAAAAAGTCTAAGGCCATGAAGTCTACGGAAATAATTGCTATTGATTGTGAGATGGTTCTCTGTGAAGATGGCAGTGAAGCTTTGGTGAAGGTGTGCGCTGTAGACCGTAATTTACAGGTATATTTGAGTAGACATCTTTCTTGGAAAGTACTATAAGTTTGAGGTCAAACGTGTAAATTTTGTGTATATGTTTTGATTTATTGAATTTATTTTCTATGTTAGGTTAAACTTGATCGAGTTGTAAACCCGAATAAAGCAATTGCAGATTATCGAACGGAGATAACTGGAATCTCTGCAGAAGATTTAGAGGGAGTGACATATTCTTTGAAAGATGTGCAGGTATACTTTGTATACATTTAAGTTGTGTAAATATATATCTATGTAACATGTGCATTCTGGTTTACTTTATGTGATGTATTACAGAAATCTTTGAAGAAGTTGTTATCACATGGTGCCATTTTGGCTGGCCATAGTCTCAATAACGATCTTTTAGGTGAGTTCTGAGACTTCAAATAAGATCTTATTCCTTTGTTTATTTAGGTTTTTCTAGGCATGTTAATTTTTAGCGAAAATCTTTACGTTGCCTTATTAGTGAGGTTAAATAAATTATCTTTCTTTGCATTTGATTTTGTACTTTTGTTTTTCTCTTTGTAAGCAATGAAGGTGGACCACAAAAGAGTGATCGACACATCTTATGTCTTCAAGTATGCAAATATGCCAATCAACAAGAAAGCTTCTCTGAGTTTGTTGTGTAAGGTATTATCCCTTTTATTCATGCATTTGGTCTATAATAAACATCTAAATTCTTTTTCTCGATTATGGGTCAACTTTATGTTCAAATCCAGTAAAATATCCTCTCTCTCTCTCTCATCTCTCTATTTGTTGTACGACGTTAGGCTATGTTAGGTTATGAGCTGAGGAAAACAGGAAGTCCGCACAACTGTCTTGATGATGCATGTGCTGCAATGAAGCTCGTGTTGGCCCTATTAGAGGGAAAAATTGACGAAGTCATAGCTGAAAAGGTAACTTTAAAGAATCACTGATGTTTTTACAATGTTAAAATATGAGTCATTCTAATGCATTTTCTGCTTTTAGTTTAAAGAACCGGAAATGGCAAAGTTGCTTGTACACAGAATCCCCGCCAATTTTGATAGCAGTGACTTGAAGAGTATTATTTCTGGGAATTTCTCTATTGAAACGAAGGTATATGTAATCCACATTTTTTTTCGTTTTCGTTTTCTCGAAGTTCCTTTTCACTGCACTTTTACCAATTTCTCCTATCGAAGGGCTTACCTTTAACAAAGGCCTAAAGTGAAATGAAAAGGGCAATTCCGTGTAGATGTTGTCCACATAATCACTTCATGCCATTTGATATGTTGTCTCCGCAGATGGATAAAATAATAAAAAATTCTACCTACAAGGCGTATGCGATATTCAAAAATTATCAAGAAGCATTCGATGCTTTTGATAATCTTAAAGGTGACTTGGAAAAGGTGTGTAATTTCTTCTCTCTTCTCTTAAGTTAACCTTTTTTCATGCATATTACAAAGAGTTTATTTACCTTTTTACCCTTTATCTTCCTTTTTCCGATTTTGATTTTCTTTTTCCGCCTAATTTTATTCCAGGATTCATGTGGGCGGCCACAAAAGATTGTAACGTTTAATCTTGACTCGGGATTAACCGGCACTCTCTGTGTTTGTAAAATTTACTCCGAGGATTATGTTGGAGGAAAATTGACGAGAAAGAGGTTAATTGAAGACGATGCTTCTGGTGAAACAAAGAAGTTGAAAACAGACCAAAATCCGGAGCCAGTTGAGGAACGTGAAACGCATTTGAAAGAGATTGACAGGTTGAAGCAAGAGCTATGTGAAACACATTTGAAAGAGATTGAAAGATTGAAGAAAGAGCTTAGTGAAAGAGACGCGCAAATTTCAATCTTGACCAAATTAAATGTCGCACTTGCTAGGAAACAAGGACTCTGAGCCACTCGCATGAACAACTGCCGTGGCTGTTTTATTAAACAAGGATGAAACGGTAATCTTGTGGGAAACGTGTTTGATTAACCGAAGAAGTCTTTTTTTCCCCCATGAAAATCCTGGAAGAAGAAAGATGTATACAGGTGGACTGATGAAGATGGAGGCTGTATTATTGTATTTTTAAAAACTTCATTCTATTTTATTTTTCGAGAATTTTGTTGTGTTATTTGGATGCATTTTTTATTTGTTGTGTTATTTGGATGCATTTTTTAACATAATTTATACGATAGGATATTCTGTCTTATTTGTTAAGGATTTACGACATCTTTGTCGAGCTTCTAGACTTTCTATCTTGAGGCATGAATTTTCAGAATTTGTAGCTTCAATGTTGCAGCAGTTTAAAACTTACAGTTGGTATGAAAGTTTTTGGCCTATTATAGCAGTCGGTATTACCGATTACCGATTTAAAAACATGCATAACAAAAATGCAACTCAAAATAAAAATTTAATCACCATGTATATGAAATCATGAAAGCACAGTCCAAATTCAGCGATTGAAAAACAAAACCAGCAAAAAAGAAATGGATATAATATTAGTTAGCATACAACATCAATCATCAGTTAGCAATACCACATTAAAAAAAAAAAAAAAAAAAAAAACAGGTATCTTGAAGCCTTACAAGAGTTGTTAAAGTTGCTATAATCATTATATCAATCACTTTCATAATCTTCATCATCACCGAAACTGAAAACCGAGGCATCCGCTGCAATGGCTTTTATATCGGCTGAGTCCAAGTTTGGGATTATGGCAGTAGCTCTCTCAGCTCCATCAATGTTCACTTCATGGGAAGTTCTATGCTCCGAGCTTGTGGATTCTCTACCGAGAGAGAGCTTTTCGGTTTGATGTGAAATGGTGGAAATGCCCCCAGCATCGGACCTAGATTCAGTAGAAATGGTGTTACCCTGCTTGCTTCTTGAAGTAGTAGATTCTTCTTCCCCTTCACTATCAGAAAATACATCGTCGTCTTTATTTTGTTTTCTCGAGGCATTACTCTGTTCGGAGTTAGCTTTACTCTCATTACTCGATTTTCCTTCTTCGCCCTTTGTGTTGTGATCAGTTTTGGTCTTGGGAATTGTTGTTCCATCGTAGTCTATCATCACAATTTCGACTTGGAATCCTGGGGAAGGCAACTTTCTCTGCAATGATGGATCACCGTAAAATGTCTGTTACCATGGGCAGGGGTAAAAAAGGAAACAATAACCAAGAAGAGAACCAGGAAAATTGTTCTATTGTTGGAGGTCATAAATTTCGAAGAAGAGGTCACCATTGGAAGAAACTTACATTGTCAAAGTCATCGAGGTCAGAAGCATCTAAAATCACTCTATTTTCCATCATTGTTGTGTTCATCCAACTGCATTACAAACAAAAGTTGCACCAAAGTACATGTCATGTTAGCAGTTATACTAAATATGTTTCCGACAGTTGAACAAAATATTCTTAAGCTCGTGAACAGATTACAGACATGGAACTGTACTGGCAATATTTAACTCATTTAAACTATATGAAATTCCAGTTAAGAATTGAGGGTTCATTCTAATGTATATTAAACCTCAGATGCAATAACATGTAGGCGCTTATTATCGATTAAAAAAAAAAGCATGGGGAGGATAATTTGAATACCAATAGAAATCTCCTTGGCGATCATGAAATTGAATTTTGAAGTCCCCCACCAATTCGGTTAGACCAGGTTCTCCTGGTAGGGCAAAAACCACTACTCCCTTTCTTGGTACACGGATCCAGAAATCCTCAGGCTGCAAAAAGTTAGGATGTACTGTTAAATGGAGACAAGCTCCCTTACATAAGAAATATCTTTCCAAGCAGAAACGGATAAAATACAGAATACGACAAGAAGTCCTCAGAAAGGAAAAGTTACCATGAGATCTTTGGTCTTTGGGTGTTTTTTTGTTGAAAACAAGATTCCTGTAAAAATATAGATTTACTGATGAATTGACTATCCTGGATAACTGTTCCGAAATATCACAATTTAGTAAAAGGAAAAACAGTGGATAAATCACCTACCATTGTGATTAGATATTGTAATAGAAGGCCTAACCCAATACGGACAATTGTGAAGCTTAAATCCTCTTAGCATGCACCTGCAACATGGTATTAGTATCTCAATTAAAAACAAAAGTATGCATCTGGGAAATGAATCGTCAGAAAAGTACCTACGTCCAGGGGGGGTTTCGCCATTGAACTCTGTCAAGATTCGCTCAAAATATTTCACGTACCTCTGATTAGATGACATAAAACAGTTAGTTCTTCTATGCTATAGGCCTTCTTATAGAATTATTTTACATAGGAGATTTGACTAACAATCTGGCTTGGAAGAATAAGACCCTTTCCATCAGTACATCTTTGCTCGTTGTAGTAATCAATACACTCATTGGCAGTTGGGTAAAGCTGCAGTAACATATAAAGTAACAACTGTCGGAAAAGCGAAAACAGATAAAAGCAGCTTATCTTGCCAACAAAACTTAAACAACATTCTGGTGTTTTTGGTGATTATTTTTCACCTTTAAGAACAGAAGAAGGCTGCAAACCATCAATCCTGTCCTTGCCTTCCCAGCTTTACAGTGAACCACTACCACATTCAATATGTCTGGCTCCAACCATGAGAAAGCACTTTGACAAAACAGTTTTATAAGGTGAATAGGTGGGCAATTGTGGTCATCAAATGGGAAAGATGCAACCTGGAGAACGAATCAGAAACAGAGTCAGAGGTGCATCTGGCTTATTTCGTTTTATTGAGTCCAGTAATACAATTATCTTTGCACACTTCATATTTGGGATTTAAAATCTAATTCAAAACACAATAATCATAAGTTCACAGTAACATGGATTAATTAAAGCAAGATAGTGCTCCTTTCACAAATCAAATGATCACATATGGTGATGTTGGAGAGCGAACAGAAGCAGTTGCAGATTTAATCTATGTATGAAACTAATTATATGATTAGCTTCACTTTTGTCAGCAACACAACTTTATTTCCTTATTGGAGATCACTTACTAGCAAAACAAAGTGAGACCTCATTTCAGATTATTATATATGCACAACAGCTGGTACTCATTGAAAACTTAAAGTGATCCTTGCCAAAGATGAAGTTAAAGAATGCGGACACTTCCACTTCAGCACTAATTAAATGTTTGTCGAATAAATATACCTTTCCCTCAAACAGCGAAGCATCATATAACCTCTCCGAACAAAGATTGTACACCTTGTATTTTCCCTGCACAAATAAAACTGTTTTAGATTAAAAAAAATGTTATCAATACGTTCACGTGACAGATGGCCACCAGATATAGTATTTACATATAACGGCATAGGGCCTATAATGGAAGTATACAATAGTCAAATCAACCCAATCACCCTTAGTCGCCAACTGAAGTGTTATCGTTATTCCTAAAATATGTTAGAAAACAGTGGAGATAAAAAAATTGTTCACAGGAATTATTAGTGAACTAGACTAAAAAACTATGAGCAGCTGCAAGACTACAAATATGAACTACAACATCCTAGCGTCATTCTTTCCCCAGATCACATACCTATCATCACTCAAGCGTCATAATCACACACAACAGGCAAATTAAAAATTTAATCAGACTTAAATAATTACGGGGAGATTTTTTAAAAATCGAGTCCACATCAGGCTTGTCATGGAGAACTCTTCCGAGTTATGATAAGTGAAGAAATATATAGTTATCTGGTGTGTGCTAACTGCTAACACAACTCTTTATGAAACTGTCAAATGCTCATTTTTCATACACATTAGCATTCCTACTTATAGTTAAGATTCTTATATCAATGTACAAAAGTTGCTCTCAGAACTGTCAACAAAATTAGTTTTCCAGTTTTGGCTGAAGGAGCTGAATGGGAAAAGAGAACCAATGTAAACAACCCATACGTGATATAGCAAGGTCTTTATTGAAGTGGATGATCATGCAAAAGTATTTTTTTGTCACTGTATGCATAAAGTGCTAGAGTAAAGATACCTTGTGATGGGTCTCAAAAAACTTGATCACTTCCTCCATATGATTCCGATAGAATCCCTGCACCATTTTTAAAGGACATTCTTCAAAAGAGATTGAAAATAATTAAATGAGAGGACATGAAGACTTTAATGGAGCCTTACCTCAAAATATCCAAACAAGCCAGAACTTAGGTCACCAGCAGGGAACCCCATAGCAATTATATTCTCGGTTATATATGTCATATCTAGGTCAAATCCTCCTTTCTGAAACATATGAAATGGAAAAATATGTCTATGAATCACCTTCATCATTATTGAACATATAAATTCAGAAACAAAGCGATCCTAAGGATGAAGTGCAAAAAATGAATTGATTGCTTATTTAACTGCTAAAGAGGCCTTATAGAGCGGAAGATGACCAATGGCACAATCTGAACGCAGACTACTATTTTCATTTTATGAGACGCATGATAGAAATAAGGAGGGGTGTCACAAATATAATTGTCTGTATGAAATTTTTTCTCATAGTCGATGCTCACATTTACGTTGTACACCATTTGAAAAAGTACTCTATATGAAATATTTTCACTTACACACTAGCAGTTTAAACTCTAATGATGTTAAGAAGAGGAAAGAGAATCTATCCACTCTAATTCGGCAGTCTTGTTCTCTGTCTAACCGCATGCATTATATACAGTGATAAACTAGTATTACATGGCAAACCTCGTGATTATGATTAGTTAGGACAAGTTCCAAATTTTGTATTTTAGGATAAATATATACTTAACATCGGCAAAGTTAGCCACCAACAATAGCAAACAGAAGAAGAAGCACAGGAACAGCTACATGCATGTAAAAGTAAAGAAATGATCTGATTAAACGGAAGCGACAAGAAACTGAAACAAGTCTCGGACTCATTCAGCCAGAGATTACATAGAAGAACAGTTTACTAACCTGGTATCTTCGCTTATTTTGTGAGACCATGTGTCTTGCCTTTACTTGCACAGCCTTCACGGCAGTTAACGAAGAGTCGACTATTCCTTTCGTGAATGATCCGATAACTGACTGTGCAGTTACAGAGTTGTTATTAGAGCTTTCAGTTGGTACAGATGTTTTTGAAGGAATCTGCATTCGAAGCCCACTAGCCAGACGTGAAAAGGTGGAAGTCCCAGCATTCGCAGACTGTGAGTCCTGTTGCATTTGTGGAAGTTTCAAACTTTTGGCCCAAGAAGATATGGCAGATGTAGACAGCATGGAAGATGAATCCTGCACCGAGCTTTCTTTCTCAGAGACCACGGAAGGTGAAGATCCAACATTAGAACCTTTATCGGGCCTCGATTGAGATGGTTCAGTTGTTTCAGAATCCATTCTGATATCCAAGATAAGATAAAGCATAACACGAACAGATGTCAGGTTCAACTTTCGATTTTAACGCAGATCTGAAATAATATAAATCCAATACAACCTTGCAACTATTTCAAAGAAGGATGTCATTAAATCAAACATCAAATGCGGATTGCAATTAATGGCACACATGTGAAATCACTGAAGAAATGTCTATCTTCTCCTAATAGCAAAGATGCATCCCTTTCTAGATATGTTCAATGAACAACATACCCACTCTTACGACTGGTTTACCTTGATATCAAAGTTATTTTTCCCTCTCACAGTATCATAATACATGAAATACTAAATTCGAAACAACTTTGAAATGCATTATAAATTTGCAACTTTTCTTTGTCAACAAAAGGAGCAGCCATCGTGCTGCTTACCTATAAATCATTGTAAAATGAATTTACCTTCTCAATTTTTGGTTCAACTTTATGCAACTTCAAACTCACTAATGCATGTCACAAACTGCATCATCCAAATTAAACAATGAATTTTAAAACATATCCTTTCTTGATATTGCTTGTACAATTACTTAAAATATTACCTTTCCTGGACATCTTTGTTTGAAACACAATCACTAAATTGCCATTACTTGTGCCCACATAACAATTTGCTACTAAATACTAAGAACATCCAGCGAATGCAATTAGCATAACACACAACCGGTCAACTCGGATTAATCTTAACTTACGTCATTAACTACTGCATTATATGCTAACAACTAAATGCGCAGACCAAATACCTTTGATGAGATTAAAAAATTCTAGTGAAATCTGGCTAAAATTCACAGCTACAAGCAAAATACAGCAGGAAAAAATCGAAAACTGTAAATAAAAATTAAGATCTGTTCACAAATGGCTACAATTCGCTTGATAATTTCGTCGTAAATCACCTTGATTGAAGATTCCGAGACCTCCACTTTGAATCGTCGAATGCTCCTGAATCTCTCTCTCTCTCTCTGCAATGGCAGTTATGTAAGTTCAAATTATCACAGAGAAAATGTGGAATTAAGAGTGGATTAACAATCTGACATTTAGGTTTTTCAATTTGGGCAAATTTATGGAGTGAGATGGAGATGTTCTGAGCTCTTTGTTTATTATTTACATTTTGTGATCTGATTGAATTCAACGTATTTATTAGTTGTGGGCTCAGATTCTCTGCGGCCGGCTTCACGGTTCGTAGAATGATCAAAGATCCAAATACCATTCCAACGGTCAACGGCAAATTTAATATTTCTTGGGGAAATTTCATTTTGAGCCCTAAACAAAATATCTTTGAGGATGAATTTGCCGTTTCTAAAATAAGGGGGGAACAATTCAGTATTTTCTTAAATAAGAAGGACTTGATTGAAATCTAACTTTCCTCCCTCTGTTTATACTTGATGGTACAATCCAAACACTCGCTATCAAACGGCGTCAAAACTAAACTCCAATTACCCCAATTACCCTCACCGGAATCCCGATGGACCCCACGGCAGGCGGCTCTACTCCCGCCACCGGCGCCATGGACGTCCCAATCGCCACGACGGCGGCCGCATCCGCCGCCGATTTGTCCTCGACGACCGCCTCCGCCGCCGATTTCTCGCGGTGGACCTTCCCGATCTCGCAGCGGTTCCAGCACCTCCTGGACAAATCGACGCCGCACGTTTTATACCGGTGGATCGCGTTCGCCTGCATCGCGTTCCTGTACGTGGTGCGAGTGTACCTCGTCGAAGGATTCTACGTGGTGTCGTACGCCCTCGGCATATACATCCTCAGCCTCCTCATCGGATTTCTCTCGCCGCAGGTGGACCCCGAGCTTTCCGGTGGCCCGACCCTGCCTACCCGGGGCTCCGACGAGTTTCGCCCCTTCGTCCGCCGCCTCCCCGAGTTCAAATTATGGTGCGTGTTTTTTATATGAATTAATCAATAAATTGATTTGCAAGCACGAATCTCACCTGTAATGCAATTAGATTTGGTTCTAGGCAGATAGTTAGAATTAGCGGAAGATAATTAGAGATTTAGAGTTAGCATTAACACAATAGGGCATTACAATGTCGAATCTAATTTCAAATGAACACTGAGATAAATAACAGCATTCCATTTCAAAGGGAAGTTCAACTTGCATATGGAAAAAATCGAAATGTTTCTAAAAATTCAATCTTCAGATTATGTGCTGATTTAAACGACATTGTCGATTGAGGTAGTGTATCCTTACATTTTGTTAGTTTTTTGATATAATGCATTGCCATTAATCACTTAATTTATGCCTGTAAAAGGTACTCGATCACCAAGGCCTTCTGCATTGCGTTCGTTTTGACGTTCTTCAGCGTATTCGATGTACCTGTTTTTTGGCCGATTCTCCTTTTCTACTGGATTATGCTGTGTATGTTGACTCTAAGGAGGCAGATCGAGCATATGATTAAATATAAATATGTTCCCTTCTCCTTCGGGAAGCAGGTATTTTTCGAATGCACCGTCACCGTTCATATATTTGTTGCATATACACTCTTGAGACGATACAATCCTAAGCATTTCGATTTTTACGTTTTACTCTTTTCAGCGGTATGATGGAAAGAGGAAAGCTTCAACAAGTGAGAATGAAAGTTTGCTCCCTTAATTTGAATTCACAGTTTCTAGAACAATTTCTGTTTACAGTAAGCAGCAGGGATTTCTTTCTTTTTATCACCTTAACTTTATCTTGTAATCTTTCTTCTCGTTTTATGAGCAACTTTTTGGAGGTCTTAAGTTAAAGTCGGAAATCGTTGTATACTAGCAAGTGAATCCTCAGTTTTACGAGCGAAACGAAGTTGTTATATACACTACAAAGAGGGTATTGTTTGCTTTTTTTTCCGTAGAACTGGATTATGTAAACATTTAAATTTCAATAGTACACTTTTCTTTGAGCTCTTTTGTGGTAGGATTTATGAATTTCTTTGAAGCTTTATTAGGCTAACTTGTTTACATGCTGAAATAAATACAAAAATGCATCAGAAAAAAATTTCAATGCTTACAACTGCTGTCAACTCATCTTTACCACAAAATGCATCAGAAGAAAATCAACGCGAAAAGCTCACCAAACAAACGGAAAAACGTGGTTAACTAAAATCGATAGAATGGGACGAACTGTGGTGAAGATCAATGAGGCTTGTAATAACCATACACACTGTAAAAAGTCTGTGCTAAGGTCAACCACAGCAACACCACAGCAGCAAAGAATGAGATTATGGTCCATGGAGTATTGAAGTATCTGTGCTTCAAACTAGCCCTCCAAGCATTCCACCTGTGCTCATAGTACCTATTCACCTGCTCCGACAGCCTCGAAAGCGAGCTGTCGTTTATATCGAAAACCACTTCCTGACATAACCGATTGAACATATCAGCCACCTCAGCATCGCTCCCCAACCAATTCTCGATTATCCCACAGTAGTGCAAGTAGCTGACATCAGCGGGCGAGTCGATCAAATTGTCCATGAATATCACGTACGAGGTGATATCGTTGGTGCAGTCCAGGTGGCATTGCTCGTATGCTATCAGATTAAGGAACAGCGATTTAGTACCGTCGTGGATCAATAGACGGGGGATCTTTAAGATTCCGTTCTTGAATTTGATGTCCCATATTCTGTCAGTCCTCCTCCTCTTGAACTTGATCCCCGAGTCCTTCAGCTCGGTGACGCAGTGGATGAGCTGTTGCCGCCGCTTGTCCGCCACCCGATTGGTGTGGGACCACTTCTTGATCCATACTCGGGGCGTCGGTTTCGGGCCAGCCCGTATTGCCAGGAGGCTTCTTCTGAAGACCTCGAGGCAATGGAGCCCGCCCTGCTCTGTCAGCGGGTCGAATGTGGTCCCGATCGACGACTCAAGCTTGCTCCGGTCGCTCTTCGAGAGAGGCTCGTCTGTCGGCATCAAAGGGTCGAAGAACCTCAGCGCCAGCCTGGCGACCACGCCGGTCTGGCTGCCGGCGGGCCAGCCGACCTGATCGGACGGCCCGCCAGCTTGGATGGCGAAGAGGCGTTCGAGGATGAAGAGAGGGATCTGATTCTCGAGCATGATCATGTCACGCTGGATGGAGTGCATGGATCCGCGCATGGCGAAGATGGGGTCGTTTCTCGAGTATCCTAGATGAGTGAACCCCCCGGCGGCCCCACGCAGGAGCTCCAGCACGAAGCAGGCGTCGAGAACCATCATCTCGACAAACTCGTTGCTGTTGTGGTGGACCTGGCCCTCGTAGCAGGCGCGGGCCCGATCCTCGAGCTCCTTGACTGCGTCGAGGTAGAGCTCTATCTTCTGATTGGTCCGTTTGAGGATGTGGTGTAGGGCCCGCCACTTGTGGCGGTCCATGTTGCGGAGGCGCTTCCTGCCGTGGTGGTACGGGCCCAAGGAGACGGTTTGTGGAATGTAGGCCTTGTTGTCGTCGCCTTCGCGGAGGCACTGCGGGATACGGTAAATGGATACTTTTGCCCACGACCCGGCCCCGTCTTCTTGATCGGCTTGTTGGAGCTTGTCTTTGATGCTGATCACCCATTCGGATTCGACGGGTTTGACCTGACCGGCGTCCGGTTCTTGAGCCGATTCGTCTTCTTTGATTGGGATTTGGAGGGTGTCTGTGTTTGATGGCTGTATTTCTCGTGCCGATGATGATTCTGGTAGGTCGATGGATCTTGAAGTAGATGCCGTCGGAGTTTGCGCGTTTTGGATCCCGCTTTCGACAGCTTGGTTGAGCTTGACGGTGATCAAGTACCAGCTGAGAAGCTCTTTGTTGAATACTGCCACCATTTTTTGGTTGATCTGGTGAACCTTTGTTTTGAGTTTTTGGAGAATATATTCTCAGAAAATTTAAAATTAAAGAAGAAAACTTTCTTGAAATGCTTATTGGTTGAGGGCTGCTAACTTTTTATATTTGAAGGCAAGAAATCATTATTAGAAAAGTTGTTTAAGATAAACAATTAACAAGATGTTGAGCTTGACCTAATCCAACAGAGGTGTCTGTGTGGGGTATGATGATTGATGATGTAATAAAGAAATACAACATGTTTTCTGCATTAAGGCAAGCGAGTGGGTCATTTCTACACATGATCAATTATATTTAAATTTAATTATGATAAATTAGGTTTAAATTTAATAACAACAAATGCTTTGGGGCCCCTTTGATAGGTTGCTTGAAAAAATATTAGAAGAATGGATATGCGCACATGCAAAAATTGCTGGTATTCGAATATTGCCAAATCAATATTAGCTGGTAAATGGGAAACCTATAAAATACATATTATTATGTTTCAAATTTAATAGATGAAGTCTCATAGACGTGTGAAGTCAATTACATTAAAAATATAATTTTTTTTTTTACATATGATATCAGACAATAATTTAAGGTCGAAAATAGAAATAAAAGATTTCACATTGTCAACAATAGTGATTTTGAATGAGAAGGCCGAGAAAAGGGTGAACTTGTCATTTTGGTGTTGAAGTAGTTGGTGCAGGAATGGTCAAAAGTCAACTGCATAAGTAGAGATTACTTAATTCTTGCACACCAAAACGACTAATCTACTACTAATGGGGAAAAACAAATGCTGGAATCATCAAACTTACATCACACCAAGAAAATGACATTAAATAAAAATAAATAAATAAAAAAACCCTTTACCAACACCACCACAAAACTAGTCAAGGGAAAAAAAATATATGAACCAGGAAAATTGAAATTAAATGAAGCGGAAATATGTATGTATTATAAACTGGGTATTTGTATATATAATATATGTAAACACAATGCCCTTTTTCCTGTATATATATTCATTCACCTACCCAGATCAGAGGGTCTTCTTGTCTTTTGTGGCTCTCTCTGAGCATCTGATCTTTGGCACAGAGTGGTATATATATATATATATATCACTGATGCAAAATAAATAAAATAAAATTAATTATCTCGAGAATTCTGTGTAGAAACATGCTCGTCTATAACTTTGGCGCGTTGTTTTTTCTTGCTTCGAGAACTGCGTTTTCTTTTAGACCCATTTTTCGTTGGGCGCCTCTCTGTTATCTCCGGTATAGTGACTACTTTTTCACTTGAAGATGGGAGCTCGGGCGGAGCATCCGGCCATGGAGTGCGTTTTGCCGGGACGGTGATTTCTAACGGAGGGTCGATTATCCATCTGAAATCAAATGGAAAAACAAGATTTATTCCTATAAAGCCCGTAATAAACAATTTTACATGTAACAAATCATATTCCAAGAAATTGAACTAGAACTTAAATTAGCATTGCCAAGTGAATATACATCTACCTCAGCACACTACTCGAAAAATGATGAACTTTTACATAAAATATTAGAATGTTGAGACGTGGAAAGGGGGTTATGGCCCCCAGTGGCATGAAAGAACTAGCTAGCAAATTGCTTGGAGAGGTGACGCCTAAGATCACTACCTCTTTGAGTCGAAAAGCAAGTTTCGCAGTTATATTGTATACCACCTCGAAAATGGATCACTACGTCGCCTTATAAGTTATTTCTACCGTCTAAAAGAACACCTAATATACGCAAAAACAAGAATTATTACACCCCTAAATTGCCTCGTTAGTCTTACACAGATTACGAATCTTGAAGAAACATCACTGGCAGAAACACGGAACAAATTCAGACATAAGAGAAAACAAAAATTAAACAAAATATTAAAATCCAAATCTATTAAAAAAAACTAACCTAGGAGGAAATTTGCTGTCTGCCCTCGCCTCCACGCGCAGCCACCACAGCAAAACTTTCCGACCACAACCACCAAGCGGCTCCACCACCGAACCATCCTTCAACAACGCCAACGGGCTTTCAACTTCCTCCACTTCCCTAGCGACCTCTTCCCACTCCTTAGCCCAAACGGGCTTATCCATTTCTTCCTCCCACACCAATCTCGAATTCAACACAAACCCCGCCCACTCCACCTCCCTCGGAAGCACAACCGCCCTATCACCGACATACCTCGCACTCCTCTCCACAAACGCCGCCTTATCAAATGCGTGCCACCCCACAAAATGGTTCGAAGAATTACACACCGGTCCTTGAATTGGCAATCGTGATGGTTTCTTTTCACTATTGTCCTCTCTTTGTACTATTGTGTATTCTCCTTCCTCGGAATCCCCTGAATATTGAGCAATAATTCCGATCGAAAACGCACCTACCCATTTCACATTTTGGATCTCGTCAAACAACTCCAAACTATGCATGTTACTATCGTCGGCAAATACGACAATCCCGTCTAATCTTTTCTCCCTAATCTCTCTGTACATTTCAAACACATTGAATTTGAGAGCATTTTACTTGAAAAAAAAATCAAGAAAATATATAGTTGTAATAATAATACCTTAGAGCATGGAATCTCATTCTTGATTCCAGTTTATGGCGATCATCCCACAGAAGAGGTATTTTTGCATCGAATCCTATGTGGATGGTTTTCAATCCGGACTTGGAAATCAGAGAGGCGGTTTCGTTGGTGGTGGGGCCCGCTTCGACTACGATCCAGATGAGATCGTAGGGAACGTTCATCAGAGAATGCATAACTCCGGTGAGATGCAGGGTTTGAAAAGTCCGTACATAAGTCGGGGTGACGGCGATTACAGTTCTGTGATTCTTAACCCCGTACTGAGATCTCTGCTCCGCCTGAACCCTCTCGATTATCCCGTGAGCCTTCATCACCTCCGCCGGATCCGGATGCGGCCACGGCCGTATCAGTATCCCGTGCCTCCCCACCACCACTCTGCTTCCGGCGGCGGCGCCGCCGGAGATGTTGCTATCGGGCGGGGGTTTGGCGGCGGAGGACGACGGCAATGTTGTTTGGAGAGCGGTGTATACGGTGGTGGTAGGGGAGGAGGAGGGAGAAGTGGAGAGGAGGAGGAAGAAGAGGAGGCGGGAGAATCGGAATCCGAGGAGTAAGCTGATCAAGCAGCAGAGGCCGTGGACGATTAGCCAGAAAATCGTCGCCGGCGATTTGATTGCCCCATCCACCGTGGCGTCCAACGGCGACGGCGCGCTGCTACGGTAGCTGGTGCTCCGGCGACCTTGCTGCTGCAACGCCGTGAGATGCTTCATTTTCAGTTGCCGGTAGCTAGGTTTTCAGCGCCCCTTCCTCCTCCGCCAACAAACCCCAACAACTGCAATTATTATTGTTATTATTTGGGTTTGAAGAAATTGGGGGTTTTTAATTTAATGGCGAAGATTCCTTTGAGTTCACGATTCCGATTGTTAGCTTTTACTGTCAGCTTCCATTACCATTTCCATCGCCTTCTTTCTGCTTTCTTCTACAATGGATCAAAGCTGCCATGGAAATCGGGGGTGTGAAAATAGAAATATGTTAAATTGGATGATTGAATAATAAATTCTAAAATAAGTGAAATTTCGGACAAGGGAAGATAATAATAGGAGGAGATCTAGGGGTCGGTTGGTAATTGAACTACACTTGTCAAGTAACCATGAGCTGTGGTGAAGGGTATTTTTGGTATTTCATATGTAGGTTTTGCTGTAATTAGTACTTAGTAGATGTTAATGATGCTTTGTGGTTAATTATGACCTGTGTTTTTGTTTTTAAGTTTTGGTCACTAATCAGTTGTCAGATGGGCTTTTAAAATCTTGAATTGTGTTTTTATTTGCAAATTTTGATTAGAATTAAAGAAATAAATTACTTATTTGATGTCATACCTGAAATTAATTTTCAATCAAAGTATTAGGAAATAATCATCCCAAAAGGGAAGAACCAGATTTTAATTGCTGGAAACCCTAAATATTTTCCTAATAAGCATATACACATATATTATTGCTTATATATACATAAATTACTAACTTAAGGATTAAAACCTACATGAAGATTAATTATATATATGTGTGTGATGTAAATCAAATGTTGATTACTATTTGATCAAAAGCTAAAACTTAAAAGATTCACATTTCACCCAATGGGTTAATCAATTATCTTATATATAAAAGAAAAAAACGTTGGGCAACCCTAAAAAACCTAATGGTATTTCTGTAATTATTTATTTTTAATATTTTTTCTCTACTAATTTATAACTATATTTTTTAACAATTATGAAAATTAAAACTAACCCGTGAAGTATCCTACCTTATTGTTACTTATGTAATTATTTATTTTCAATATTTTTTCTATACTAATTTTTTAACTATAGTTTTCAACAATTATTAATCTCCTATTTTTCATCAATATATCTCAAATCTTAAGAGATAAAGCTAGAAATTCGATCTGTTAAATCTTAATCTATTTATTTGGATTATAAATCTTAATATGTAAAATTTAAAAAATCTAACGGTATATAAAATATGAATAATATTACTTTATCAGTGTACTATATTTTCTTATTATTTATTAAATTGATTAATTTTCTTTTACTATTTAAATATATTTCCGTGCATAGCACTGGGGAAAATGCTAGTTATTATAGTTTAATTAAACGTTCCCTATAATTCTAAAAGAAACCCTACGTTGTTACTAAGGGTGAATTGTGTTTTGCGTCCTATAATTAACCTTAATTGGCGCTTTCCACCCTCACATTTCAAAACTGGCAAAGCCTACACTTAAATTATATTTCTCATTGCACAATACACCCTACATCAATCTGTTACGGGATTTTATCCCAAAGAATCAATATATCACGATATTTTAACTTCTGAAAATAAATATTTTAAAGCCATGTTCTAAATAATCCATTTAATTTCGATCAACTACCCATTTAAAAATAATAATAATGTCCCTCACTTCTCATTCTATTTTTATTTTTTTAATAAATATTTTTTACTTTGATGCAAAACATATAAAATAAATTATCAGTTATGTATATACAAGTAAAATAATAATATTATGTAAGAAAAAAACATAAAGAACAATGAAAATTGCTTCAAATTGTAAAATATTGATATATTGATTTTTTTTTCTGGCTAAAATATTATAAGAAATTCAGGTATGGTGCATTTTGCCATGAGATGTATATGGTAAGGGTAGACTTTGCAAATTTTAAGATGTGAGGGTGCACAACGCCAAAACATGTTAATTCTGGGGTGCAAAACGCAATTTACCCTATTATTAATAAACACATGAAAATTTGTAGTTTGGCCCAAAACTATTGTTCCAGACAATATATATATATATATATATATATATATATATATATATATATATATATATATATATATATATATATATATATATATATATATATATATATATATATATATATATATATATATATATATATGTATGTGTGTGTGTGTGTGTGGGTGCATATGTGTGTGTGTGTTTGTGTGCGTTTGTTATTTACATATACATACACACACATACACACATACATATATATA